CTCAATTCTGAGCGCATCCAACTTTTTTCTAAAGCATTTTTTTGGTTAATTTACTCACCGTTTTTTCCCGCTCTGTAGTTTTTTAAGCAAATCTGCTTTTTAACCAATAAATTCATTGAGAAATTTGAAAATAAATAAGATTTTTTTTGGGGTTTCTAATGTTTTTCCTTCTTTCTGAAAATCTTCACTTAAGTCATGCCGATCGAAACTTTATGTTTTTGCTTGTCTATCACATGAAGAAAAATTAATGAATTAATTAATTCTTGATAATACATTTGTTTTCAAGTCGATTCCAAAAATTATCCAGTTTACTAAATAATTACCAATTTTTCTTTTGAAAACAGTTTTGAATGTTTTGAATGTTTTGCGCAAACAAACAACTTAGAACTTTGCAATTGACTAAAAAAACTTTTAAAATGTGTGTTATGGGATGAAATTATGATGGTAGGCAACAAGCCGAAGGCCAGCAAACCGAAAACAAGATTAGTTTTCAATCCAACAAACCAAAACAAAAGTATTGCTATGCAACATGACAACATATTTTCAATGTTGTTATGCAATTGTTACGTAATTCTGATGAAATTTACATGATTTTAATGCAATTTCAGGCTCAAAGAATGACCGTTTGTAGAAATTGTGACTTGTAGATATGGCGGTTTGTTGAAAATCCGCCAAAGTTTTATGCCCGAGTTTTGGGAATCAGTTTGCACCTCATAGTTCTGGTACACTTCTGAGAGAGTTTTGTCTCATTTTTTGTCTAGAGTCAGCGCAGATTATGTAAACCGATGACCCTGACAACTGATGACACTGACCATAGTTTTCTGAAGACATTTTCAGAGTCACAATCAAAGCAATTGAATAACTAGATCCTGATCAAGTTTACATAATATCAAAAATCGAAAAGAAAATTTTTTTAAATAAATTTTTCATAATTTTAATCCTTTTTAGTACAAATTTTTTCTTGTTTGCAGATTACCGGGATCAAAATTAATCACTTTTCAAAAACTAAATACTTCGAATAGGTCAATGGTCAATGTATTAGGTTGATCAGAAACTCTTCATGCTTAAATATCTTAAAGTTTTGCGGAACAATTGTGTAAAACTTTGACCCCAGTTTTTACAGCGTCAAAATATCACAGAGCTTCAATCCATAATTGAATAATTTGCAATTGAAGATTCGACTTACAGATAATGTGTAAGGTTTTTTCCTAATCTGATGACCAGGAAACCTCTCACAGTAAAAGTTTATTTAAAAAGTCGAAGAAAATGCAGAAAAACAAGAACGGTCAAAATATTATCAATTTTCTTGTGGATAATTTACTTCTCAATCAAAATTCTATTTGTAAAATTTTTGCGTTAATTGTTTCAAAAAGCTCAGAAGAACCCAAGTTTTCCAAAACTTTCCAAATTGTATGGTTTTTTTATTGTAAAAATGAACTATTGTACGTTTTTTTGAGGTTTATACGTTTAATACGGGATTTTAGGACTCGTTTCCATCTGAAATATAGCAACAGATTTTTTGTTTAAACTCACTTTTTTCAATAATGTTTTGATCTCGAGTTGCCGAGGACATCTTCATAAAACGCGTTGAAGCGGTTAATTACTCAGATTTTTTACTGACCATTTTATGATGTTTAAGAATCAAAGTCATATAAATGTGTGTTTATATCAAAATTACAACCTGTGACTATTTCTCTTACCGCGAAGTCAATAAATCAATCAGTTCTTTTCGATGTTTCCAATTTAAAGCGCGGTCAAATTAGTTTGTTTTTGGTTGCAACATCAAAAAGTATTATTATGTGCATTAAAAAGGGGAGGTGGATTTAGGAGGAGGATATTCATTTTTTAACCAGTCGATAGTTTTTTTTTGATTTTTGGTACGTTTTGAAAAATCTGACAGCAGCGCTGAAAACTTTGGCCAGAAAGAGTAAATAACTCGTTTTTATGCGAAATCATTTTTATTCATCGATCTAAAAAAATATTGATCATAATTAAACAAACTTTCCGACCAAAACGATTAAACCAAAGAAAATGATTTGAAAGATTTTTTTTCTAACTTTTTTTTCCAAATTTTCAGCATTTTTTTCAGAGAAAGGCGATTGAACTAGGTCAAAAGTTGCAAAAACGAGAGGTAAAAGCAGATAAGCTATTGCACCCATTGCGTTAGAATTGAACTGAGGAAAACAGAAAAATTCTGAGAAAGTGTTTTTGGAAATTGTATTTTGGAATCCAAATCACAGTTGCAAAGGCCTTAACATGATTCATATTTCTTTCATTAGCTAATTCATAATTCCTTCTTCCGGTTAATTTAAGTCACGCGGTCGGAACAATAAAACTGCCCTTATGGGATGATCTGCAGGCTCAAATAACTAGCGCAGATCTAACTTGATTTTTGTTCAGTATCGAAATTGATATTATCGATATATTAGTTTTCTCTCAGGTGAGGTAATTAAGTCTTCTGAATCAAATACGGGCCCTGCTGTTGGTATCATTTGGAGTAAGAATTAAGAAAAATCAGGTCAATCGATTAGAGAACGCCTCAACTAGACAGGAAAGAATTAGTTACGGTGGAATCACGTTTCAATTTCACGAAACTCAATCTGCAAATGATTTACATCAGATTTAACGCAATTATTTTTAGCTCAAGATTTCCTTAATAAATATCTCTAAGAAGCTTCTCGAACAAAATGCTGGTATATTTTGTAAAAATCGGTAGATATCGTTTACGAAAACCTTTAATTAGTCTCAGATATTCTGCTTTTTCCGAAACCAATTCTGAAAATTTTGAAAAGTTGAAATCTTGAAACTTCAAAAACTTGTCAAAAATATCTACCAAAAATTTAGAGAAAAAATCTAGAAGCCGTGGAATCTACCCAATTAAACCAAGCTGAATAAATATCAAGTTAATACAACACAATGAGAAATAGCGTTCACACACAACTGACTGAACCTCATTTCAGACAAAAAATCCCCACATGACATGTTTGTCTTCTTGCAAGTGTAAAGTGGGCAATATCAAACTACTTCAGATAATTTGAGAAAATCCGTCAAAAAATTATGTTTAAAAACTGTGAGAAAAAATCACCCCGAACTCAAAAATATCGTTTGTTTTTGGAAGTCGGTTCAATTTTGACATTATCAACATAATTGTTTGATGTTTTGTCTACGAGGTCGAACTGTGTTCTCATAAAATACATCGTTTAAAGCGCTAATATACCTGGAATATGGAAACTCTGAAGTTTGTCCTTCCCGCAGTGAGGTTCCATGGATAATAATCGATTATAACTGATTTTCGTAGTCAAAAAATTTGCCTTTGTAATCGATTATATTTACACTTCGGGACCACGCAATTGATAATAATCCATAAGAACCCATTATTTTCCAAAAAAATGAATCAATTATAATCCATTAAAAATCCATTATAACGAATGGATTATAATTGTTTATATCTCAATAAGTTTTTCCAAATTTCAGCAAAATTTGTTGCACTTTTTGTATTTCTCGTAGCCTACTCGATTTCTAAACCTTCTCACATTTAGTTAAAATTTGCATAAACATATCCCATTTACTTTAAGCTCAGGTTTTCTCAATTTTAGCACCCAAAATCTGACATAAATTCCCCCACCTATGCTACCCCACGTAGCCTCACTCCCGCCTACTCGTCCCCCACCTAGCCCTCCATCTACCCCACGCAACTAAAACCCTCCTACATATCCCCCACCTAGCCTCACCACTCAACCCCCCTCCTCTTCCCGCTTACCCCCCGCATACCCCTCCCACCACCTACTCCCGTTTTTTTGGGGGGCGGAGAGGTGGGGGTGCGTTTGGTAGGAGGGGTGTAGGTGGGCACGCGGTGTAGGTGGGCACGCGTTTACGGTAACTCTAAGTTAGGGTAAGTGGTGAGAAAGTAAGTAGGATTTAGTGTGAAGTATCTAGAGGGAAGGGAGAGACGTAGAAAAAAGACATGTAGAAGTGAAAAACGATATGAATTTTTGCTGTAGCCAAATGTAAACCACAATTTAGCAATTGCAACATTCAAGTTTTGAAAATTTGACCTCAAGATTTTGGAAAATCCAGGATGTTACTCATCAAAATTAATTTTCTAATCTACTATAATCTCCTATAATTCATTATACTCCATTATAATCCATCATAATCGATTATAATGGATTGAATTGATTTCTACATTTTTGTTTTATAATCAATTATTTATCCATTATAATCAAAAATTTTGCCGTTTTATGGAGACAGACCATGAAAGTCCTTTATAATCGATTGTTATCTTCATCACCTCATTGCGGGTTGTAAAGATAAAGCTAAAAAATTTTGAATCTTATAGAGAATATGGAGAGTCGCGAACATATTGATCAGACAGAAAAAAATAAAAAGAGTAAAAAGCCTATTTTTTTTAATGTTTAGGAAAAGCCTGTTTTTAACAAAGCGAATATGTCTCAAGATCATCTAAGACTAAAAAAATTTTCATGCATAAGTCGATGAAAACTGGCATGGCAGACTGCTCTTCTTAATTATTTTTCTGAGTCTTCAATTTTTTGAAACTTATTCTAGCAAATGGAACAGACAAAATTAATTTGTAAAAGCAATTGACTGATTTCTTTCTATTAATTTTTGCTTAAATCTTCAAATTTTTCAAAATTTAATGTCTCAAAGTCATCCGAAATTTCAATATTGCATGCAAAATGTGTTGAAACTTGACAGATTGCTGTTTTCAAGTAAATCTGTCTGTTCAAACTTTTCGCAGCTTATTATAAGAAGAGTTTATGCCTAAGTATATAAGACCCAAATTCGGAAGTTGGTGGGTTTAATAAACCTAAGGCCCAATTTCAATTTTGTAAATTTATTAAACAATAAGACCCAATTTCAGCGTGCAGTTTTGATAAACTAAAAAAAAAAAAAATTTCAATCTGTAATTTTAATAAACAATAAAACAATAAAAACCAATTTCAGTCTGTAGATTTAAATTCTCTGATTTGTGCTTTTAGGTCTCTATGCGGCCATGGCAGTTTCGGCCTGTTTTACCCTGGAGAGGGCACTGGCAGTGTGTGACCCCCTGAAGAGCCTGAGTCTGTGCACGAGGAACAAGAGTGTCAAGATATGCATACTAGCATGGACAATGTCCATAGTCTACAATCTATGTGTGGCCGGAATGAAGATGGCCGTCTACCAGTTTTTCCCAAGTACGTTTACAGCATCAAATTAACATCCCATAACCTGGGGAAAAATTTCAAACAATTTTAAAATTTTCGAAAATTTGATCGATTTTTTTTTTTCATTTTTAGATCTAAAACTTACTAAGTTTTCCAAAACACAGTATATCCCTATTTTGCCCCTTTTTTACGTCTCAGCCAATTAAAAACATAGCCAAATGACAGTTGGAACAGAGAAGTGAATGCAAGGAAACAGAAAAAAAACTGACTTGTTTTTTGAAAAATTCAACTTTCGAATTTTCAATTAAAATAGGTACCTTTAAAGCTCTTTTTGCACGAAAAATTTAAACTTGGTGTTCTTTTATAGAATTAACCCAATTTGTGAAAACTGGATCAATAGGTAAAGTTTATATTTGGTTGGAAAATCCGATAATTAATTTCCACTTTTGACATTAGAAGTCGATCACGTTTTTCATGACCTTTACACTTTTGATGTTCGATAGTGGAGGTCACCTTCTATTTAACAAAAGGAATAAACTGATTTCAAAAAAAAATCAAAAGTCAAATCGTGAAAAATCTAAATTCGGCGTGAACAAATTTTAAGACTTTTCTTGAAAACAAAAAAAAATATCAAGATCTATATAAGTGTACTTACTACGTTGTGCTTAAAAAACAGGCCATAACTGCTGTTTTGGGAACATTTTTCAGAAAATTTTGTTCTGAAAAATTCGTTTTTTAGCGCGCGGGCGCTCGCCCCTCAAGTTGAATATGTATTTTCGGATCCATTTAGAAAAACTTAAGAATTGATCGGTTCAAAATTGATTTCGTAAAGTAGTATCGAATGAGCCCTAGGGTGGTGAGTGGGCAATTGATCAAATCCCTGAGGGAAAGAAGGCCATTCGCACCCAAAACAACGCAGATAATGCAATTTCAATTTCAGTGCAAAATAAGTACTTTTTATCTTTCCGGGAACAGCTCTGAAATTCAAATTGATCATTTTCCGGCCAAATTTGCCAAAAATCCGCATGAGAAAAACAATATTTCCTTGATTATGTTTCATGAAAAGGTTCGGACTGCGCGCAGTAAAGCAAGCAACGAAAATGGACTAAAAAAGAATTACAAAATGAAAATTGAAACGGAAAATTTTCCAGGACTGCGCCCAATTGTGACATGTTTTACCCAGATGAAAGTAAATGCTTCCAGTAAAATATGCTCAAATAGGTAATAAGTGTCCATTGCGTCTAGTTTTCCGTGTTATAATGAGGGACGAAAACCGCTAAAAATTGGGTTGTTGCTTTAATGAAAATAATCATAATCAGCAAAAGTTTCGACCAATTTCGCAGATTGTTTTATTTAAAAAAAAGCGAGGTCGTATGTCTAACTAACAGTCTTTGCCGTATTTTGAAACGTTAAAATTGATAATCGCTGACATCGTTTGATAGGATAGCCTTTTGGATGAGAAACGGTCCTGATTACATCCTGTTATTGTGAAACACACAAAAAAAATATTCGCGTTTTTTGCTTTATATTCATCGATTTTTTTTAGTTTCTTATTTGCATTTACAACTTTGCCTATTGCGCGTTTTTTAAGAAAATGTTTATTCATCTCTTTTCAAAGTTTTCAATTAGAATTTGTCTACCTTTAAGAGACTCCAATTGTAACCAGATGAATCAATTGTCTTATCCGAAAGGCGGTTGGCGCCTTTTTTGCCATCTTTGATCCCCTATGATTACAACTAGAACAAAAGGTTTAACTGAACAGTTTTTTAGCTGATAACTTGCGTGTTATACTTTATTGTATACTCAACTTTTATCGTTTCTTTTTGGATACTCAATTTTGTTTCGATGGAGGGGAAGGGCAAATGGTGATTTCACTCCAAATGCTTATACAGTATAAAATGAGTTGCATACACCAGCGGATTTAGAGTGTTGCGGACGCTCTCTTTCTCAGGGACTCGACCCCCTGCCGACCCAAAGGGTCCCCCTTTTGTACTATTATCAGATCTCCAATTTGGGCTGACGGACCCTAAAGTTTTGGTAAAAGCGCCTTCGGCGCCAATATTTGTTATTTTTGTGGGGAAGCGCGCGCCAAAAAAACGCATTTTTGTGGTCAAATTTTTTAAAAAATTTCCAAAAATTCCTAGAAATTTGGGTAAATTGGCATCATTATAGTGATTTGTGAAAGCTCGGAAAATCAGTTTTGTCGACCTAAGAAAAAGTTGATAAAATTTCGAAAGTTTTTTTTAAATCCGCACCACCCCCCGAATTAAAATCCTAGATCCGCCCCTGATTGCATGCTTTCATTGAATAAAATATTCCCCCGTTTGTTTTATCAGGGCTTTTTCGATCAATTTTTATGCGGCGCTTAACAGTCAAAGTCATTATTATTGTCAAATCATTTAGAGAAAAATTGTAAACTCATTTTTCCGCTCAGAGACACCTAAAAACGGATCTGGAGATCCAATGGTGAGTTGTAAAATTACTGAAGTGATATTTAATGGTTACATGTGATAATTATGATTATGATGATTATTAATAAGATAGTTTTCATTATGATCATTATGATTTTTGGGATGGAGTGTGATTATGAATATTATCAAAACGATTATTATGATAACCGGTATGACTATTATGATTATGATTATTATGTTTATTATAATTGTATCTATTATGATTATGATGATGATTAAAATAGTGACGGTTTTCATGATCATTAAGATTATGTTTATTTTGAAGGTCATGATTATTATGAGTTATATTAGTATGGTTAAGATTTTCACTTTTTTGTATTATGATTATGATTGCTTATTTTGATTTTTATAATCAGGTTAACGATTATGATTATGATTGTTACTATTGGGATTTTAATCAACTTTATTATGATTATTATGATTATTTATTACTATGATATTTTTTGGTTATTACGATTATGATTTTTTCAATTATTATTATGATTGTTTTTATGATTACTTTTATTATTATGGTTGCTATTAGGATGTTCATGATTATTATGATTTTTGAGATTATGATTTTTTTCATGATTATTTTTTATTATGTTTATTATAATTATTGTGACTATGGTTAAAATGATTATTTTTATTATGGTTCTGAAGATAATGATTATTATTATAAAAGTTATCGTTATGATTTTTGTTGTTATAAGGATTATTTTTATGATTTTATGATTCTTATTATGTTGACTATTGTAATTATTATGATGATTTTTATTATCATTATTGTTATGATTATGATTTGCCGACATTATTATGATTATGTTTATGATTATTATGCTTTTTATTATGATTATTTTGATTATTATGGTTTTTATAATGATTATGATTTTTTATTATGATTATTATGATTATGATTATTATGATTATGATCAATATCATTATGATTATTATAATTATTATGATTATTATAATTATTAGTATGATTATTTTGATTATTGCTATTATGATTATTATGATTTTTATAATGATTTTTGTTGTGATCACTTTTATGATTATGATGATTCTTATAATGATTTTGATCATTATGATTATAAAGATTTTGATTCCTTTGATGAATTTTTTTGTTATAATATTTCTGACTAAGATTATTTTGATTATGGTTATAATTATTTTGCTGATAATGATTATGAATCATGTGGTTATCATTATGATTTTGTTATTATTATGATTATTACGCATATGATTATGATTATTGTAATTATTATGATGATTCTTATTATGATTATTATGATGATTTTGATTATGATTATGATTATTATATTCATTATGATTATTATTAAAGAGTTCCAAATTTGTTCCTTGCTATCTTTTGTCTTCGGAATAACAAAAGTTTCGTTTCAGGACGAACAATGATTTTCGACGAGTCTCTTTTCGTGTTGGACATCACTCTGTTTTACATAGCACCCTTCGTGCTTTCATCCGTCTGCTACTGGCGCATTATCCGAGCCCTCCGAGCTCGAGCCAGAATGTTCGCCATCGGAACAGTCCATGGCTACAACCCGAATGCAAACTCGAACGCGAACAACCTACCGCGTACAGCTGGAGGCAAAACAAATCGCCCCGGGACAAAAATGAATGCTGGAGTTCCTCGTCGTTTGGCTCAAAAGCAGCTCGCGAACGAAGCCGAGTCGAGGAACGACAATGGTCAAAGCAGATCATCATGTTCGATGATTTCGCCAGCGAGCGATATAATCCGAGACGCGGAGTCGCCATCAGCACCCCGTTCGAACCCTGTGAAAGAGCCGACCCATCAACACATGTCGGCAAATCGCAAGGTCAGTTTTTTAAAAAAGAATCTAAAGCAAAATAATAACTTGGTTCAAAGTAATAATGAGTAAAATAAAATATTACACTCTGAAGGGGTTTAGGGGGGATGCTCAAATTCGGAAGGGGGGTTGATGAATTTTTTCGCAAATCAGAGTTGAATACACGCACATTGCCAATCAATTCCAAAGCATATTAGGGAGCTATATGTTTACTTGTTTTTAGGAAGGGGGTATGGGAAATTTTTAAACTGATTTAAAACAACTTCTACGAAAGGAAAATTTACGTTTCTGTAAAAAGTCTTCAAATAGTCTTTTAAGTTTTGTTGAAAAGACTTGTTGTGCAGTGTTTAATTCCAATAAAATTAATCAACTTGATCTTGCAAAGTTAACAATAAGAGTGGTTATCAATATTATCCAAGGTTGACAGACTGTTCCAAGGACAGCACCTGCTAACAGATTAATAATCATCACGAATGACAGTTAATTGACAGCTTGCAATTTGAACTAAATAACACTATACGACACTTCCCCTTCGATAGATGAAACTTTAGATGACTGAAAATTTAATGACAACATGTTGATTAAGGGTTACTGATAAGAAAAATACTGAGTGCTTATTTAAAGAATGAATAACAACTTTACTGACAACGATTTTTATCAACTAAAAAAATCACTTAGCAGTGATGGCGTTTGAGTTTTAGTCAATGAAGACCGACCCTCTCCCTGGGCTAAATAGGCTAATAGTTTTGTTTTATGATTCAGTTTGAATTTTCCTTTTAGATTAATTCTTTCCCTCCTTTTCGCTCTGAATTATGAAATCAATCATCACCCCCTCCCATTTTGGTCACCGCCGTTCTTTTTCTCCCGCTTCTTCTCGACGCTATAGATCCCTTGTCGTCCTGACTATCGTCCTGTTTGCTATAAGATACCAGTCTGGCCTTCTTTGACGGTCCTTTCTTTTTGCCGGGTGCTTGAGTTGGTTGGTCCCCTGGATTTGATGTAGCCGGATCCCTAGGATTTCTATCCAAATCGCCGCTGCGTGCTGGAATGGTTTCTTGGTCGCTTCCACTATCTGCGTCCCTTTGTTGCACTGCCGTTGGATCTGCTTGTGCGATCTCTATTGAAGCCTCCGCGGATGGTTGTTTCGTTCGTTTGACCGAAATAATCGGCAGATTGTCACTGTCTTCCGAATCAGAACCATTGTTCTCAAATCGGCGGCCGCTTTTCTCCCGTTGTTGCTTCTGTGGAGCAATACTCTTCGTCACTCGCTCTTTAACTTCCCGCGGAGTTGGCGGTGGTACAATCGATTTTGATCCTGTTTTAATCTTCTTTGGCTTAGCTTTTGTGGCCACCCCCCATTTCCCAAGCACAACCCCATTATTTAAAGTCAACGTATGAGCGCTTTCTGATTTAACTTTCGAAAGAAGCTGTTTATACCTTTTGAGGTTGCGGTTTCCAGTTTGCTGGAATAACAATCCAGACGGTCCTGGTTGTCCACTGGGGCCCGCGGATTTCAAAATTGACGGTTCATCGTCCTGGTTGGTTGACTGTTCATGGGTCAATCGGCGTGCGTGGCTCCTGTGGCTTATGTCGTACGCTAAATCCAATCGTACGGCCCAGTTAGTGTCTGCAGGGTGTGGCATATCGTTGGCATTTGAGTCAGCGTTATCTAAACAAACATTTTTCGTTTTTATAACCCGCGACCAATCCAGATTTTGCAGAGATGGTTTTTTTGTAAGATTTCGTAAGACCGTGTTCGCTTCTCGTCCATGATGCGTCTCGAATGGCGAGATTTTTAACGTTGCCTTCTTTGAAAATCTGAGAGCGCCAAGGGTTCTTTCGATCATTTTTTCCAAGGTTTCGGGGTGTTTTTCTTGGACAAACGTCAGGATGGAACTTTTGAGACTGACTACCTGTGGTGCGCTCCACGCATCCAGCTGCCCGGTGATCATTACCAGGTGATTTTATTATTTCAATACCCTCCCCATTACAGAATGCTATAATCTCATTCGACATACAACTCGTACCCTGATCCACGTGATTTTTCCTTGGCACTCCATGATTTGTTATATAGCTTTTCAAAAACTTCAGTATTTTATCCAATCGATTATTTCCAGAGACCATTGCCGAGGGCCAACGAGAAAACCGCTAAACCGCCACTAACACATACTTCCGGGATTCGTTTAAGTAGTTAATGCCCCCAAAAATCCAGTTGAACTGATTCATTTGGTTCCTTCGGTTCAGGTATATTTCCTAGCTAATTTTTTCTTAAGATCGTTTTAAGTTCTTACCGGCGGCGGTGCATTCGGTACAGTCCTCAGCTATTGAAGCTATTGATCGGTAAATATACGGGTACCAAACATCTTTCGCCGCATCAAATATGTTGGATTTTCCGTGATGATTTGCATGAATTCTGTTGTTAATCGCAGTTTGTAAGTTCATAGGTATAACAAGTTTTTCATCCATCCACACTACGTTCTCCTTCACCGAAAAATCGTTAACAAATTGAGAATAATAACGGTTCATAGCATTAATTTTGTCATGAATGTTAGGATCCTGAGAAACTATAAGGTCGCAAATTGCGCTCAATTGGGGGTCAGAAAAATAATTGGACTCATTGAACTTCAGGTTAAACAAATCCAATAAGGAAGTGATTTTATTAACAATCTTGCAATTCCGAGGGATGATTGACATACATACTGAACTGGGATCCACGGGTGGTATTGTTTCACCGTTGAATGCCAAGGGTAACGAGAGTGTGGTATTAGTCCGAACTGATTTGGTTTTTTTAGTAATAGCTTCCAAGGATACGGTGTTCTGGGGTAATTCTTCAATTTCATCACAACTACTGTTTAGAATTGGGTGCTGCTGTAAAAATTTTTGCCATTTCCTCATGTTTTTATCCATTACGATTCGAGATTCTAAATTTTTAGATGTAATCGGGAGATTTAAACAACTTTCTTTTGATTGAATAATAACACCAACTAATTTTCCGTAGCTGTCGGTTCAAGCCATGTGTTCGATTCTGATTGGTCGATTCCCGCTCACATGGTTTTCCGCCCTCTACCGGTTCATTTTGTGACAAAACTTTCAATCTATTTATATATTGTTTACTTTCCGCTTTGATATGCGGTCCCTTGGATTGAGAATTGGATGATTTGTATCCCCTGGATGCATTGTTCTTATTGAACCCGAGAGCGGCACGAATTAAGTTGATCTTTGCCACAGTAAACATATTATCGTATGTACTCATTGGCGTTGCTTCATTGCATGGATGACGGGATAAATAATCTGCTAGCCCAATTTTCGCCCCTGCTTTGTGTTCAATTTGAAAATCAAAGGGAATGAGCCGATCTAACGATCGCGTCAAACGGCTAAACATCGTCTTGTTTTTCTTATTATTACAGTTCAAAAGAGAGGTTAAAGCTTTATGATCGGTCACAATTAAAAAATTCTGTCCCAATTTCTAATTTTGAAAATAATCAGCCCCCCCACACGACTGCCAACATTTACAATTCATTCGTTGAATATTTTTTTTCCGCTTCGTTAAAGTATCTTGAAGCAAACGAAATCAGTCTCCACCCCTCCGGCCCTAATTGTTCAAGCACAGCACCGAGCCCGTTATGACTTGCGTCGCACACGATCCGAATATTCTTGTGGATGTCAAAATGTCGCATTTCAACAATGTTAGACACTTGCTTTTTTAGATTTTCAAGGGCATCCTGGCATTCAGAAGTCCATATGTATTCTTTACTTCTACTTAGTAATGGTCGCAACGGCGCGGATGATTCATCTAACGCTGGCAGATACTTGTGGAGACTATGTATTGACCCCAAGAACGACTTGAGTTGTTGCTTCGATCGGTTCTGTTTTCCGTACCAGGGGAGTTATTCCAGTTTATGTTGTTTTGTGGCCTAGCCACTCGCAATCCCGTTGTTCGAACTTGCATTTTGATAGTTTTAGAGACATATTTTTCTGATCCAGTTGTTTTAGTATTTTCTCTACCGTTGCTATATGGTCGATTGCAGTTGTAGCATCGATTGTTTTTCCAATTTTCCAAACTTCCACCTCGGTTCGTGCCTCGCCCTTGATATGAAACTCTGCCTCGTGCGCGATTATTGCGATATCCTCCACGGATCGTTCCCACCGGTTCGGATTTAATCTGAATCCCACCGCCTGAAGATGATCCTTGGCTCCCCAATGATCCCGTGGCGAAATTGGATGTGGCATATTTGTTACCCCGCTCGTACGAGAGGGCTATCCGATAAACCTCCTCCGGTGTTTTTGTTGACCTGCACAGTTCTTTTTGTGCTTCACGGTTATTCATATTGATAATGAATACATCCCTTAGTATACGATCCTCCAATGCTCCAAAGTTGCATCGCGCCGCCAATCCGCTCAGTACGGAATGGAATTGCTCCAAACTTTCATTAATAAATTGTTTCCGAGAGAGAAGCTGATATGTCTCGTATGTCTCAATCCTTTCCTTCTTGAATTCCGTTTCCAGTATGTCTATCATCCGTGGGTAACAAACCGTCGAAAGATCCAGATGCGGTCGTCTTTTGTGAAGTTCGTCTTGGCCCTTTTCTCCCAAGCACAAATACAAATTTGAGATCAGAACTTGTTCCGATTCCAGTCGATTCTTCCCATCCACTTCCTCGGGCAAAGCGGTAACTTGAGCGGCAGTGAGAGTCGCTGTGTAATAAAAAATTTTCGGATTAATTGAATGCTTAGCTACCATTCCCCATTGGAATCTGTTGATCCAGAATTCCCACATCATAGGTGGTTCAGTACACTTTGCTGGCCAAAATCCTGTAAGGCCCAGTGGATTCTTCCCCCCCACCTGAGACTGCTGGCTGCGCCATGTTGAAAAGACTTATTGTGCAGTTTTTAATTCCAATGAAAATAATCAACTTGATCTTGCAAAGTTAACAATAAGAGTGGTTATCAATATTATCCAAGGTTGACAGACTGTTCCAAGGACAGCACCTGCTAATAGTTTAATAAAC